CTCGTTCTGGGTCTCATATCATCTGGGTTCCCCGCGCACTCCTAACAATAAACTGGCAGATCAAGTTGCATAAGATGAAGCCTACACATTTATATTTTTGTTTTTACATCCCCCCACACTTCATAGGCCAATAAAATCTGGTTCACAACTTCACTCTTCCTGATGGGGAACCAAAGTCTAAACGGTGGATTTGGTACCTGCAGAGCCTCAAAGATGGCTTTCCGGTACATGGACTGCTTGTTGTATGTTGGCTGGTGGAAGGCAGAGGAGAAGGAGCTCAGAGGCATCAGTTTCTCCACACAAACCTGAAAAATCAAACAAAAAAGTCACAAATCAGCCAAGGCATTGAAATCCTTCCTCAAGTTTAAAGTCTGAACGTGGCAACTGATGCGCTCACTAATGTTCTTGTCCCGTCTTTAACTAAGTTAAAGAAATAATAATAAAGGTCTTCTTTATCAATTTTAAGTATAAAAAGCTGAAGAAGAACAAAAGAAGAATGTGTTCAGCTGCAACTTAATAAAACAATTATTTTTATTTATTATTTGACAAGTAAAATCAAAGATACTCACTACAGAGAACTTCCCATCACCAAACCACATCACCCAGCGGGTGCCGTCTGCAGCTCGGCTTCGGCCGCTCATCCACCAGGAAACGATCCTGCCGGGCCACCAGGAGAAACCGCGCAGCTTCCCGAACACCAGCGACCCGATGCTGAAGCCACGGCCATCCTGGACGGACAGAGCACGAACAAACTGCCGCTCAAACTGTTTCTGGTCTGTGGCAGGAAACTGGAGAACCTGGAGAAATCCCACGCATGCACAGAGAGAACATGCAAACTCCACCCAAAAAGGTCCCGGGCCAGGATTTGAATAGTAAATGGACTGTACTTATACAGCTCCTTTCCATCTTCTCAAGACACTCAAAGCTCTTTACAACACAATCTGTGCCTCATTTACCCGTTCATACAGCGCTCTACTAGATCTCTGCAAAGTTAATTGAACAAATCATTCTAAAGAGACTGATCAGAGCTTTATCACATTCATACACCGATGGGACACATCGAAGGCAATGGGGGTTCAGTGTCTTGCCCAGGGACACTTCAGCATGTGACTGCTGGTGGATTCGAACCCCCAACTCTTGCATTGGAGGACGGCTGCTCTAACCACTCAGCCACAGCCGCCCACAGCTTGTAACGAAGCTTGAATTGGCAACCTTCTCGCTGACAGGCGACAGCTCTACCAACTGATCCACCGTGCCGCCCCCTTCTGTAAGTACTTTTGAATATTTAATAGATCACAGTTATAGCTTTTTATGAATCACTGAACCTCCTGGACACTTGGATTTAGAGCCATGATTTGTAACCAAAAAGGCAAAGAAACAACCACGAAACGACGCCAGAGAACATTTCACTCATCAGCAGTCGTCACCGCCCACCTGGACAACAGTGACGGTCAACAGAAAAGCCTCGGATAGGCTGCAGCGTGACCAAAACCCGGCCCACACTAAAACCTGGCGGCTTGACTCCTACTCCCTTCAACCTAGTCTGACTCGCTGTAAAGTACAGCAGCGAGCGCAACACTGTCCTCACCTACAAGTCCCTTCACGCTCTTGCTCCTCGGGAAACCTCTGACCTCCTCCACCTCTACACCTCCTCCAGTAATCCTCCCCCTGCAGGCTGCAACCTCTGACAGACATGAGGCTCCCACAGCACCGACTCACATGAAAAGCAAAACGCTCCTGAATATTTAGGCTTTCGCTTAAAACTCGCATTTCTGCCCACTGACAAACCTCTTTGGTTTTTGTAATGCATTATGCATCTTTCATTCTGTGTCTACTTTACTTTAGTTACTTTTAAAAGAACTTTTATGAATAAAATGTATCAATCAAACCTGCCCCATTGCAGACTTTTATTGTCTAATTGCATTGTTTAATGAATTAACAATATAAAATCCAATTTTTGAACATCCAGAATGACTTTTATTTAAAGCATAGCGTTACAGCTGCTGGTAAAGACCAGACAGTTTTTATTTTGTTCACTTCATCGATCTATCAAATACCTTGTTATGCTTCAAAGCTGGGGAGCAAATGTGACATGACACACAGGGTGTATTCACATAAAATATATAATTTATGATAAACTTTTGAGCCTTCCTTAAAAATTGGTTTCTCAGATCAGATTAGGAAAGCTCATAGTTGGTTTAAAGAAGATATTTTGTGCTCTAAATACTATTTGATGTTGCAGCCTAAAATTCTTGTAGGATTATTTAGAGGTGAAGATACGCTCATATTTGCACATCGGCTTTGGTGCATATCCATTTGTAGAAGTTTCCTTAGAAAGCAAAAATCCCAAAACAATATTGTGACTATTTCATCTGAAATATAATAAAAAAGGAAAGGCAATAACAAGTAACAGACATATTTAAACCTATTTAAACCACTTAAAACAAAGACATGAACAGAACCCGCCAGGTCGTAAAATGTTAGTCCTCCTTTAAATGTTGCTGTTTTTAATCTAAGCAGGTGAGAAATGGTCATTACAGGTGATGAACTCGTCAATTAAGCAAGTCAAAAGAAACGATCTGTTCATTTTAATTAGCTTACAAGGAAAAAAAAATCAAATAAAAATTTAAAGACTTCAGTGTATGAAATGTGAGATACCACACAGCTCATTTTGAGACATCGTTTTTATAACTTTATAAAACCTGTAAACATCCTTGAACAATTCAAGACAATCATTTAAGACGTTGGTGTCTTCTTGTGATGAAGGGTTAGAAATCGACCATGAAAGTTTTTGACTGTTAAAGAAATAAAACACAATTTATCCATTTAAAAGACTTTTGGTCTCACCTGGTACTCCATCTCACTGGGCATGGCCTGGTCTCCCCTGACAACCGGCTCCGGCGTCACAGCAACCGTCGGAGAGGCGGGATCTGTGTGTTGCTGTAAAGGGGGAGGGGCTGGGCTAACTGGCTCCTCCTCTTTTTGAAAGTCAGCCTCCGATAGGTCGTCCATCATGTTAATCTCTGCCTCCCGGTACGCCCGTCGTTCAGCCTGTGGAGGAAGAACAGAAGTCTGAGCAAAAACCTATTTTATAAAATGATAACTTCACATTTTTATGTGAATTCTGACAAAGGTGTTCATATTCATGTGCCTGCATTATACAAAAGATGCATTTTAAACCTTAGCTTGTTAAAGTTCTAAAATATATATTTAGGACTATGCAGTGTTTTTAAAGGAACATACAGGCCATTCATTTGACAGAAATGTAAAATAAAAATATTTAAAGAGATCCGGCTGTGACGTGTCACCAATGTGTTAATTAATCTACAAATAGAATGTAAGGTACGAATAAAAAATATGTATTTCTTATTTATGCCTCATAAAATGCAAATGATTCAAGCAGACAACTGCAATCAGTCTAACAAAATAAAGCTCTTCAAAACATGTTATCAGCCACTATCTGTCCTGCAAATCTGTTTCCCTCCTTGTTTCAACTTTCTGTTCTTCTTGTTTTTCTCTAAAATGTAACGCTCTGCTTCACAACAGGCTCATAAATCTAGTTTTATGAGGGTTTGTCCAGCTGATCTGAAGGCCATAACAGATGAAGGCCTTAGAGAACCAGGGGCATTGGAAGCCCTCATGTAATTGTTCCACTAAACAGGAAGTGAGTGCAGCGAAGGGGTGCGGTGGAGAGGCGGTTCAACGGGTTCAACTCAGTGAGGAGAAGGAGGGAGAGACGATACAGAACAAATAGGATTATATGATAAATCTGGATAATACACCAAATACAGAGAGTACAGCTTTCTGATGTGAAGACAGAAAGACAACAGGTAAGGAAAATGTTCAAGGCAGTTCGGTACTTGATCATAACGCTGCAGTAAAAAAAAAAAAGTCAAATACATTTTAGCATAAAAATACATAGCTACAGTCCTGCATTTATATTATTTCTTAACATAAAAAGTAAAAAAAATATCAGTAGTTTATACTCTGGAGTAGTCCAGTACCTTGGGTTTATGGACATAATGGTGTCTAAAGCATTTTAAGCTGGATGAAGAGCCTGTTGGAGACTCCAACTCGTAACCAGACTTAATATATTTGAAATTGTTTAGTTCTTGTGAATAAAAAAAAACAAAACAACAACTTGACAATAACCATGCGCATATGGCAACTGCAAACGATGCAACAGATCTTTGCCTTTCAAAATAAATCACTTATTTTAACATCAATATGTGTACAACAACAAAAAAAAAAAAAGTTTTTCACCAAGTCATGGACGTGGTGTTTAGGACCAACACAGGACGGAATCAAAACATTTAACAAGTAAAAGTAAAAAGAGCTTTCAGGGCAGCAAACAAAACGCAAAGATGGTGGACACAAGGAGCACGCGAGGAACAGGACAGGAAGAGAGGCTGACGAGAAGGTGAAGCGCTTCCCTCGCGGTAGTTTGTGTTTATTCCCAACAGTTTAGCAAAAGTTTAAGTAGGCTGGGAGATCGATGAGATTAATGAACATGAGAATAACTGAGGGAAAGGGTTGATAACACACTGAGACGCTGGGAAACAAAAACTAAACATGGAACCTCAAACAATAAAACACGGGAAAGTAAGAACACGACAACAACAAGGTAAAAAACAAAACAGCAAACAATGACATCAAAAAACAAAGACTAGGACAGAGAACAGCTTATCAAATTATTTCACTCTTGAATAATAACAGTTTATGCTAATCTGCTATTTCCTGCCCACTTGTTGCATAAATAAGCAATATCGACTGTATATGTAGTATCCACATGTCTCCTGCAAAACAAAAATCAAGGGTATGATAGCGTAAAGTGACTAAAATCGACTTTTAATCACGAAAAGGAGCTTTTAGGTTGACATATTTACGACACAATGTAACAAAAAAGACCAAAACACACATTTTATTTTTGTTTGATGGACAGAATAAAAGCTACTGCAGTTACTTTAAATTGACAGCCATCAAAAGATTGATAATTATGCTTTTGCAAGTTTTAGTATATAATAAAAATGAATGCAATTATTAGAAAATAATGAATAGATATACATCTCCAACTGATTACATTTTGGAGCCAGCCCAACTGAAGATGGCCGCCACAGCTAATCAGCTATAACTAACATAAAAATTGACTAGAACTGAGTCAGTTTTACACATGAGATTGAGATTTACATGAGATTGTGCATAATGTTATTTACAAGTACTGACCAAAACCTTTCTCAGAAAAAACATTGTTAGAAGCACATTTTTTTTCAAATACTAAAAAATATAAAAAGCAGAGGTCATAAATTGATCAGAGTACTTCACCAGCTATTTGTGTCGTTTCTGTTTTTAGACTTTTAGTAATGTTTTTACTAGGGATGCACGATATTATCGGCATGTATCGCTATCGGCCGATATTAGTGATAAAGTTGAATATCGGTCATCGGCCATTCCATCAAAATAACTCACCGATGTAAAAGGCTCTGTTTATATGGTGTGTGTGTATATGTATATATGTATATATATATACATATATGTGAGGCACTGTTTTTGTATGACAACCCAGTGACAAGGATGCCTGCAGCGCCAACCCATTACGACATCACACGCACCGTTGAGTTTAGATTTGTGAACATTTACAAATTTGCACTGTTTGATTGTTGTCATTGTGTTAGAGTAAATGTCATGAATAAATCTGACATTAAACATAATCCAAGATGAAGTGGTACATAATGTTCAGCCCCCTTTTTGGCGTCTGCATTTGGTAGCAGACCAAACTGACAAAGACCTGCAGAACAACGTAGTGTTTTAATTCCACAGCAGAGAAAGCTTTGTAATCTCTGTAAGTAGGTCTAGAAAAAAATATTGGTATTGGTCATCAGCCAAATCAGCATATCGGATATCGGCCCAAAATCCAATATCGTGCATCCCTAGTTTTTACACTTCAATAAAAGACAGTTTTGGTCACAAGTCTGTTACTGTGGTTTCATGTGTCAAAATCTGAATCACTGATGTCAACAGATTCCAAATTATTTGATTGCTTTCCATCTTAGTGAGGATATAATCACCTTAAGAGAATAAACATGAAACCATGACATCGCTGAATGCTGAGCTCAGCCTCAAACACTGGATAGAAAAGTAATCATGACCTCACTGGGTACTGCACTATAAGGATGCCACTGTTGCCCAAATATAAAACCTATCGAGTCCACCCGAACATTTCAACGACCTGAAAACATTTTTTCCCCACTGAAGAGAACCCTTTGGTTTGTGCTCCAACTGAGCTGGCAGTCGTAATGTAACCGTTAACATGTCAAAGAAGTAGAAAAAACAAAAATACTCTTTGCCTCGTGGCTGTTGAAGGAAAATATGGTGCATCAGGCAGAAGAAGTGGGCAGGCTGGACGGCATAAATTCAACTGGAAGAAATCGTAAAAGTGAAAGTTTTGGGTTGTATTATGGCTCACCTCGGTTTGACTCCGAGGTGAGAAGGTCATTCCTTCAAGCTTCTGTTGACCTTTGACCTCATAAAATCCTAATTAGCCTTTTACAAGGATCTTAGACAACGCAGGCACTGTAAGTGTATCTCCATATGTTGTCACTTCTCTAAAACACCAGAGAAAGAATTTTAGAATACGTTTAATTCTTGCAACTGAGAAACTCTACCTTTGTATTTTAAATATTTCTGAGTGATTATTACTTAAAAAGTACTTTGTCAAATGTCTTGTAACCAGGCCTCGCCTCTAAAACAGGCAGCAAAAAAGACAACTTTGAAACCAGGTTATAACAGTTGTCCTTCACTGTATTGCAGGTTTTTAAAACTTTTTTTTTTAATATTGTGTGTACTGTAACATCTCATGGACATCACCAAAGTGTTTAAGAGCACATGAAGTGTTTATAAAAGAGTGGGAAAGGTTTGCAGGAGTGTGGAAAGGGTTTATAAAGCCTTAACCCTATATAAATAGTAAAATAAATATAACGCTGCTACTTCGCAGTTTTCCAACTACCGCGGGAATTACGTTCCAGAAACGGGTGAGGGATCACCGTATATGCATGCTCTGGTTATTTAATTTATTATTTTGACCAAAATGATTTAAAGAAATTCCTGTAAAATTCCATAAAGTCAAGATGGCATTTTAGAAATCTACAGCTGAACGAGGATTGTATCATTTCTGCAGGTGGTCTAATTTGTTTTACTACTAATAAAAATTTAATCTAGTGATATAGTCATAAAAAATATCTCTTAAATTATGAACCTTGGGTTTTATGTTTAAAGCACTGAAATAGTTTGAGTGCTAACACGTGTAATAAAATACATTTGTATTTTATATTAAAAAACAACCAATTCTGCAAATAATTCTTAAGTTCTTGTTATTTGTGTTTTGATTGTGAACCTCCATGTTTAAGAAGCCCACACTTTGCACTGAGCTCAGTATTTGTGCTGGATCGTTACAAGACTCGCTCCAGACTTGTGTCGCGGTAAGAAACCAGCCGAAGTCCTGCTCGCCGTTTGAAACCGTGGTTGTTGCTTGGCAACATTAGCTGGTTGAACACGCCGCCAGGATGTTTTTTCCTCTTTTCAGGATGAAGATGAGTCAGAGGTGATGGATGTTGTGCCTGAGTTTGTGTAAGTCCGCCTCATACGACCAAAGACGTGCAGATCTGATTTACACTAAAGTAAAAAAATATATACCTTCATAGTTCATGCTCAATCATCCAGGTACCAAATCCAATAATGCTCAGTCAAGTCATCTGGACAGTTTCTTTTTTGTAGAGATGTTTTGCCCTCTATCCAGAGGGCTTCGTCAGTATGAGGAGTCACAAGTAAACCGTTTCCCCACCACGCAGTACACTCCTTAAATGGACCAACCAGTTTATGGAGATAGAGGGCGAAACCTCTCTACAAACAAGAAACTGTCCAGATGACCTGACTAAAAAAATGTGTCAATTTTTTTCTTCTTTCGGCTGCTCCTTTCTTCAGGGGTTGCCATAGCGAACTAACTCACAGGAAGACTTGGCAATTGTTTTTACGCCGGTTGCTCTTCCTGACACAAC